CCATGTCTGGCACCAAAAAAGAGAAAATAAGGAAAAAAAACAAACTACTGAATAAAAGTGACAAAGAATGGAGAATCTGTTTTCTTTTTTTTTTTTTAATCTACCTCTTTATACAAATACTCTGTGTTTTACCTTAGATGCATGAAAATAAAATTATGTTTTTTGTAATTATTTTAACCAGTATTAATTATTTTTCATGGGAATGAAGAGAGGGAGGGATTTCACAGGTACCTGTATTCCTCCTGAGTAACCTGGGCACCAGCCAGCGTATGACCTCTTCCATCTTGGCACTACAGCTGCTGTCAGGTTTTGATCTGAGCAGTCACTTCCTGTGTCCTTGAATAGAATCTTCAGGTTTTAAATTCCATTTTTTCAGACTGATGTCTTAATGTTTAGTTTCATCCTGGTTTCTTCAATGCCTTGTTTTAGGATAAAATACCTTTAATGCCTTGTTTAGAGCACCAGGTCCCCTGTGGCTTTGTGAGAAGTTGTCTGAGCTCCTGTGTGGTGTTCCGTAGTACCAGCCAGCACCATGGTTCCATAGCTAATGCCTGCACTGCATTCTGCTGCTCTATTTTCTGTATTTATTGCTAACTGGAAATGTAGTTTTAACCATGCAAATGTTTTCTTCTGGCTTTTGGCTTTGCAAAGTTCCTGCACTTAATAGAAATGTTCAGTGGTGCAAGGAACCAAGTACGTGGAGTACAGAAGCTGCATGAAATAAGTGTTCATAGTGATGTGAGAGATTTCAGCTCCTCAGCACATAAGGCTTATCCAAAGATGAACTAGATATTGATGCTTTATAAGGCTCATGAGTTTTTATTTCCAGTATTTTTGCTAAATGTGCATTTAGGTTTTGCTCCTCCTTCATGGAAATGTTCAGTGAAGTTTGAATTCATGGTAAAATTACCTTGACTGGGAGAATTTTTGCTTTTGAGTTACCTGTATTTAATTATTTCTGTGGCTTAGAGGTAGTTATTAAAATGACATTATGATTTGATTAACTGAGATACTGTTTCTGCTGTAAAATTTTGGCTGAGTTAGAGGTTATTAATAAGACTACTGTTGCAATCACTCTTCAGTTTAAGTCCTTCTGCAGTGGTGTGAAAATGTAGAAATTCTAATATTTATTAATCCAGTTCTCTTAAATACAATATTTGTCTTGTACCATGCATGTGTGACCATGAGCCTTTGTAAGGATTTTACCTTTTTTTTTTCACCTGTTAGCCTTGTAAAACAAATTAACTGCCCCAGGGACAGCAGCTGCTTTCCAGTGGGTGAATAAACGAGTGGGCCCTGCTCCTACTTAGTAGCATGTGACTAATTTTACTCCAGCAACCAGACTTTCCAACAGTTTGAGAAACAACTCGTTGAGTAACGTTAATCACATTGCAGCTGTTTCCAGGGCCGAGGCTTTATCTTGCCATGAGGGCACTGAGGTGATGAGATGCTTTTGCTGTGGAGCTGGTAAAATCATGTTTGGTGAAGGTGTAGGTTTATTGATGCTGGATTGGGAAGATGAGGGCCAGAGTACTGAGGATGCCACGCAGAGCCCCAGAGCTGCACTGAAGCACAGCCCCACGCAGAGCTGAGCATGTGGAGGTGGCACAGAGTGGCTGGCTGCAGTCACCTGGAGCAGTACTCCAGCACAGCTTCCTGCTGGACCACAGCTGGGCCTGCTGGGATGGCTTAGAGCTCGCCTTGGCAAAGGGTTTGGCTTTGCTGGTGATGGTGATCCTCGAGATGTCACCTGAGGATGACATCTGCTAACTTGTCCTCACCAAACCCACCTCCTGCTTGTGCTGTCACACTGTCCATTAGAGAATTCTCTAAGCACACTGTCCACTGATACATGCTGTAAATCATATATTTTATTAATAAAAGTACACAGAGAATACACTTTGTCAGGATGCTTTTTATGCTCTATCCTGCCCCTCCCCTTTTCTGCATTTGCAGTTTTTGAATGAGTGGTCTCTTCCCTGTGCCTGGGGAACTGTGTCCCTGTTCCTGTCCCAGGTGGGATGGTGCCAGTCACTGCCTTCAGCTGCAGTGCCCAGTAAAACCAGTGCAAATCTGCAGTTCCCAGTCCCTGAATGTCACACTAAACACGGGGAAGGGAATCTCCTACCTGCAGTCTTGTCCTGATGGGACTGAAATGCCACCAACCACCTCTTAGGTGGTTTGTATCCACGGTGTGACAACCACTCGTGCCACCAGTTACTGCTCAGAGTGTGGTGTTTATTTATTTACTGCTCAGAGTGAGTGTTTATTTATTTACTGCTTAGAGTGAGGTATTTATATTTATTTATTTACTGCTCAGAGTGAGGTGTTTATCCAGCTGACACAATGCCCAGGGCAGGAGAGGCCTGTGCCTCAAGTGCTTTGTCACTTCCCTGCTGGGAAACACGCTGGATATGCAGCAGCACCTGCTCTGTTCAGGGAGGACAGGATCGTTTATTGCTTAACTACAGATCCTTTTAGTATCGGCCCGATTTGAAAAAGCTCAGGTAGTGCTGACAAGCAGAAACCTGTGGGATTTCCCCTCCTATGGATGATGGAATACCAATATTTTGATAGAAATTTTTATTGTCATCCTCTTAAGGCACAGCAGAGCTGGGAAGCGATTTCCTGTGTGCTGCTCTTCTGCTCTTCCTCTCGGGGCTGTAGAGGTGTAAAACATCCTGGCTCCTATCAAACACTCCTTTTATTAAATAAAACGTGCCTCCTTTTGCCCTTCCCGTGGAATTGGCTGTTGTAAAGGGAAGGACAAGTGTCTTGGATCGAGGTTTCTTGGGAGTGAGGCTGCTGTGTAATGATTGTTGGTGTCTGGAGCAGTTTGCCTGCAGCAAACATCTTACTTAACTTGGTTTGGGCTTGTAAAGATAAGCGGTGGAATAAAACCAGTGTTTGTTTTACAGCTGAGAGAATAAAAACTGTGAATTCAATTTCTCTACACAGTGAATTTTACCCTCCAATTTTAACAGTCTCAACCTTTGCGAACAGGAAAACAGTCCTGGCTGGTTGAAATAACGCCTTTGTGAGCCGGGGCTCTCCACTAGGAGGCAAACGTCGCTGTAAAGAGGTTGAGGCTTCGGGTCACAGCGAGGTGTGGTCACTGTCCCTCAAAGGAACCTCCGGAATCAACAGCGATCAGTTGTCGCTAAATATGAAACACTATAAAAGCGTTTTCAGGGTGGATTATTGCCGTGCCAAGAGTTCAGCCGAGGTGTGCAGGGCGAAGAGCCTGGGAGGATGTGTCCAGCTCAGGAAAGGGCGCTTCTTCTGCTTTGGGGAACAGAAACACTAAACAAAATAAAAGTAATCATGGCATATTTTAGACTTGGGAATCGTGCATGTTTTGAGTTGGAAAGGACCTTAAATCCCACCCAGTGCCACCCCCTGCCATGGGCAGGAACACCTTTCACTGTCCCAGGTTGCTCCAAGCCCTGTCCAGTGTGGCCTTGGACACCTCCAGGGATCCAGGGGCAGACAGAGCTTTCCTTCTTTACTTGTTTCAAACATTTAGAACACCTTGGAACCATGAGATAAAACAGTGGGATTATCTTGGCACAGGTCTTCTTAATTGTTTGATTTCAATTGACTTAAAGGCTTTTTAAATTTTTTTTTCTCCTGGAAGAAAAACCTCTGTATTGCACTCCAGTACAAAAAGCTTTTCCCAGGAATCTGTGGCCATTGTTTCTCTTCTATTAATATGTGGTTTTGTGTCCATCCAACGCTGCCATTGTCACGGCATTTTCCATCCAAGTATTCAAATTACAAACATTAATTTCATCATTCAAGTGCCTCAAGGAACCTGTGTAGTGGTTCGAGCACAGGGCTGAAAGTCAGGCCTTGTGAATGCTATTTCTGGCTCTGCATTGACTCACTCTATAATCTTGATCAATTTATTTCTGACTCAAAAATTTTAATAGTCCCACTTGACTGATAAATATTAATGCCACAAGTGTTGTGGCAAATGCTTCCTGAATGAGGGTGACAAATGCTCATGTTAGCCTGTGATTTGAGGGTTGCAGAGTAGGATTGGCTTACCTGGGCCGGGTTTTTTATTCAAAATCACAAGTAGCTCCTTGTTCTGATTTCAATCTCAAATGTTTCTGCAGCCCCTCCACCTGTAGACAGACTGGACCGGGCTGTGGGAAGCAGGAACAGCGAGGCAGCTTTTCCTGGTGTTTCCAGGAGGGAAGGAGAGGGAACTGCACACCTCTGCACCTCCAGTGTGCCACGGAGACTCCAGGGACAGACCCGGCCACCTTCTCCCCTTCGGCTACCTGCAAAAAGCCACAACAGCGGGGCCGAGCTGATCTTTTTAATAAAGAGCTGAACATGAATAAAGGCATTAATAAACCCTGTTCGTTTCACGGATGCTCTCAGACACTGAGTCACGAAAAGCATCCCTTGTGAACAAAGGAATAACCTTAAAAGCAACAGCCTGTTGCATATTCATATATCTCATGAATATATAAATTCCTTGCAAATTAAGAACTTTTCTGGGTTTTGTCAACTTCTTCTCCTTAATCTTGCTGGTTCCAAAAAGACGGAGAGAAGGTGGAAGAATGTTTGTCTTTTCTGATGAGGAGGCCGTAACTTTTTATGTGCCCCTTCGCTGCCATCTCTGTGCGAAGACTTTCTTGATTATCTCATCTCCCTGCTTGAGCTTGTAACAAATCCCCCATCGCAGAGTTTCTATGTTGTAACCTAAAACTGTATTTAACACACTACTTAAGAGAATCAACACAGCCTAACTTTCTAACATCACGCATATAACATTCATTGTATCATTTGCCAAAAGCCAATCACAAATCACGCACTTTTCACAATTAATAAGGGCACGATCCGCGTTGGTTTCGGGCTGGGGCCCGGCAGAGCTTTCCCCTCACCGCCGCCGCCCCCTCAGCGCCCGCGCTGCGCACGCGCGGGACGTGCGCGCCCCCGGCCCGCGCCATGGAGGCGGAGGGCGGGAGCGGCGCGCGCCGCGCCTGCGCAGCCCGGCGGGGCGGGGCGGGGCGGCCGGGCCCGGAACGGAGTCCGGGTTTGTTGTTTTTTGTTTGTTTTTTTTTTTTTTTTTTGCCCCAGCGGCTCCTCAGTCCTCCTTTAGCCGCGCCGCCGCCATGTCCAGCCCTCAGGAGCAGCCGCAGCACAACAACAACAACAACCCGCCGGCGGACGGGACGCACGGCGAGCCCGGCCTCAACAGTGAGTGCGGGGCCGCGGGGGGCCCTGGAGGGGACGTGAGGGCCGCGACCCGCTCGGGCCGCCATTGGCGTACGGCGCGCCGCGCGAGCCGCCGGGGGCCAATGGCCGGGGCCGAGCGGGTATAAATGGCCCGGCGGCGGCCGCGGGGGGCAGAGGAGCAGCGGCGGGGGTCGTGAGGGGCGGGCCGGCACCGGGCCGGCACCGGGCCGGCACCGGGCCGGCACCGGGCCGGCACCGGGCCGGCACCGGGCCGGCACCGGGCCGGCACCGGGCCGGCGTGCAGCGCCGAGCAGCGCCGAGCAACCCGGCAGCCCCTCGGCCCCGGGCAGCGGGAGCGCGGCCGGGAGAGCCGAGGGGATCCGCCGTGGATACTCCGGGCGCGGTGGGAGCGCTGCCCCCGGCGGGACCCGCCCCGTCTCCTCTCGCCGGGGGCTGAGGGCGATCCCCCGAGGAGCGGCCCGGGCTCGTTGCGTGGTTACGCGGAGTTTACCCGAGCGGCGACGATGGGGATACAACGGGGTAGGGGGAGGAGCGTGGCTGTGGGAATGAGTTTATTCAGCGGCTGAGTCAATAGCACTGACGTGAGCTAATTTCCCTCTATATCCGGCATCTCTGTCAGCTGCATCAGCTGCATTTTGTTCCTGGGGTAACACTAGTAAGGCACATCATGTAGGCTCTGGTACTTGGCAAGTGCTTTCCCTTCCTTAACAGCTCCTTCGCTGTGTCTTTTCATGTCTGAATTTTAAGGATAAAAAAGGTGAATAAATTGCATTAATGATTAACTGTAACCTCCGCGGTTTACGATGCAGTTTAGCTGACCGCAAAATAAACTCGTTGGTTTCTTTTCCATAACTCAATAGAAATCGTATGAAAGAAAGAATAAACTGTGCCCATTTCATAATGCTGCTATTGTGTTGTGGTAACACTGCATCGTGTGATAACCGTGGCACCTTAAACAATGTCACCTGAGTCAATAATCTTGGCAAATTATTCAGGCCTGTTATACTTAAATTACTATTAGGCTGTCCAAGTTGCGACGTGCCAGGTGCCTGAGTCAATGCTTACTTCAGAAATGACCATATTTGATGCCTGTATATTTTACATTTTTAATTTCTGGTGATGTGGCAATTCTGTGGGACTCATTAGTCTGCTGGATTATAGGAGCAACAAGAGCTGAGAGCTCTGTAAGCCAGGGATGGATCTGCCCGTGGAGATCTTGCTGCTGGGGCAGCAGGTAGAGGCTCACCCAGCTCAGTGATTGCTGGAGGAGCTGAGCACAAGGTAGGAGAGGAAATGTTTGACACTCTGTGCTCTAGCAACAAAACAAATGCACCCAGTTAGCAGTGCTGCTTTCAGATGTTCAGCCCTTGCACAATGCTTTGCTGGGAGAGGTGCATTTCTGCCATTCTCTCAGCTTTTCAGTGAACCTTTCAGGCCAATAAGCTGAGACACCTATTCATGGTGTTCTGTGTTTCATTTGTGTGTGTTTAGGGCCTTTTATTCAAAGATCCCGTAGCACTTGGAGGGCAGAAGAGCTGAGAATAAAACTGGTAACCTGTGTTTTGTTGGGTTCATAGAGATAAAAAACACAAGTTGCTTGCTTTGGGAATTCTAGATGCTTCCTCTATTTTAATTATTATAAAGCTCTGTTACATATTGACTAAAAGAAATCCCACCTTAGGCAAGAGCCCGTCTAGCGCTGTCATGGAAAATCCGCTTAATAATTAGCATTGTGGGAGTCTGGTTGCCTTTCTTTTTCTTTCCTTTTTTTTTTTCCCTTTTTGGTTAAAGTTGTACTTCATTGTAGACATGATATTTATTCCTTTATTCAGGTTGATCATGTCTCAAACTACTTGTAAGCTACTGAGTTGGTAGTAGCTTGGAGAATTTTTATGTCTATAAAATGTATACAGGTATTTAATTTATATATTACCTTTGATATTTCCACTTCATGCACCAAGCTGAAATCAGGGGGAATAAATAAAATGAGACCAGTCTTCCCCAACATGTTTAACTCCTGCTATTTAAACAGTCCACCAAATTATGGAAAAATGTAGAATTAAAGTCAATGTATATAAATTAATAGTGGAATAATTAGCCATAGAGCAAAGCCAACATTCAATTTTGGAGAAAAATACCATTAATGTGAACAGTTTGTTTTTTTTTTCCTCCAAAGAGTGTGTGTTACATGATTTGTGAAGGGAGGAGATGCTGCCACATTTCTTAATTCTATTGCTCTTAATTCTACCACTCCATTCTGCCACATTTCCTATTTTAGTATCAAGTAGAAATACGGTGAAATTAAAAGTTCTGAAGCAGGTGATTAATGTACAAAAAAGCTTGGGGCAAACCCCATTCTCTGTTATTGGGGCAGTTTATTCTCCAATACATTCCTGTCCATTTCTTTAAAGAAACAGAGATTTATGTCCCTCTCATGAGCCTTTGAAGCCGGTGGTGTTCCCTGCTCCCTGTCCCAAAGCAGTTGTGAGTGCCCGTGGGAGGGGGTGGCGTGCTGGGGCTTGATGGCAGATTATTCTTCCTTGAATGTATTTTGAGTCATTCCAGGTGAGGTCAGCTGGGAACGTGCTGCTCCTCATGTCAACTGCTCAGCTCCCATGAACTCTTCACTCACAGTAGAATTTGGGATTTCTTCCTACTGTGGCCACAGTGTGTTTTAGATAAATACGGAATTTGTCAGCCCGAGGTAAATCAGTAAAAACTTTATTTGTGGAGCTGTGTGTCAGAGTAAGGAGATCTGATCACCATCCTCTGGGTGTTCTAGTGTCAGAGGAACACATCCCCTCACGCTTTTGCCCTCTGCTGTTTTTTTTTTGATCATAGATTGCTTTGCAGATCCTGATTTTTCCAATAGCCAAAAGTGGTTGTTGGGGAATATAAAGCTTTTTTCCCTAACTTAACTTTTGACCACTTGCTAACTGTGTTTGCCACCTGCTTTTTTGCAGGTGTAGCCTCTTGCTGCTGCAAGGCAGAACAACCTTCCGGATGAAGCTCTTAAAAGTTTGGCCATTTTATTTAGGAATTCAGACAGCAGCAATCATCACCAATCTGGAATAACACAGCCTCTGTCTGCTGCTGACTGAGCAAAGCTGCCTCTTCCCAGTTAACATCTGATTATCTGAAAAGCCTAATGTGCAGTGCTGAGCTGCTGCCTGTGTGCTCCCAAAATTCCCTGTTTGTGAATCCAGCCTGGGGAAACTAGGCTGGGAACCACCAGAGCATGGTGCTTCCACAGACAGCACTGTAATGGCATCGTGAATAATTGGTACTAAAGGAGAATTCCTCACCAAAGCAAGTTGAAAACAGGCTCATTATTAAACATCCCTTCCTGTGTCACTGATGGAGCTCCCAGAGACAAAATCATGCTACAAAAAATTAGTGCAGGCACTCCCAGGTGCATTTCAGAAATCAAAAATCAGTGTTAAAATGTAGGACTTGTACAAATAATGCTCAAAATGTTGTATTTGTAGCTTCAGGCTTGCTTTTCTTACTTGGATATTTTTTACATCTGGGGGAAGATGTCCAAACTGTAAAAAATAGTTAACCAAATAGAAAAAGAACCCTGAAAGCACCTACCTTCAGGTGGACTAAAGTAAACTACAGAGGAGTTGTGGTGATATGTATCTCTAAAACCTGTTTGTTTCCAGTTAAAACATATCACTAAAAAATGTATCAGAACGTACACTCCCATATTTAGTTAATCTGCACATAAAGTATAAGGGAAATACATTTTAAAATAAAAATCCTCTGTTTATCTACACAGTGTTTGAACTTCTTAGCAGCTGCTCTTGTCATCCATGGTACACTCTTGCTCTTTGTTGAATCTCAGTGCACATACAGATGTCCCATAGGTAAAACTACCAAAAAGTGGAGAAATCCAGTGAATCAGAGCTTTATGGGAGATGCCTGTGCCAAGGCAAAGCAAGTTGAATGGGACCTGAGAATGGTAGCCTACCTGATGTATAGAAATATCAGGTATTGATCCAAGGCCTTTGGAAGTAAAGAAAAGGAGAATATAAAGCTGTACAGAGGGGAGTTTTGTAGTAATCACATCCTGACATTCCCTCTCTGGGACCTACCTCTCTCTGCAGCTCCTGCTCCCTTTGTGTCTATACTGTCTGTGTAAGTGGTCTCTCCACAATCCCTCCTCTTATTATCTTTGATTCCTTACTCTGTGTAAGGGATCTCAGGTGTTGATTTTGTAGTGGGGGCATAGGGATGAAAATTCTGTTTGAGAAAGGAATGTAGAACAGGGTGAGGTGTGATGGAGTGATCCGTAGTTAATTGAAGCTCCAAACTGCAGAGAGATGTGGCTGATTAAAGCATTAATAGCTGGGGAGAAAGGAGACATTGAGCAGCAGCAGAGTTCGGGAGGATTAAGGCAGCTTTTGGGGGCGTTTGTGTTGCTGGAAGGAGACGAGCCCTGCGCCGTTGTCTCTGTGCTGTGTTTATGAGCTTGCTCAGGTCAGCGTGTGTTATCTGAGGCCAGCATGCTGCTGTTTGCCTCTGGCTGCCCTCGATAAACTGAAGGTGTGTTCAGTGCTGGGGTGGCCACGCGCTGACGTGTGGAATCCTACAGGTTCCTGGGTGGAGCTGCAGATGAACGGCAACGGCAACGACAACAGCAACGGCAAGAACGGGGGCCTGGAGCATGTCCCCTCCTCCTCCTCCATCCACAATGGGGACATGGAAAAAATCCTCCTGGATGCACAGCACGAGTCAGGACAGAGCAGTTCAAGAGGTAGTTCCCACTGTGACAGGTAAAGGAGTGTTGGCTGCTCTGCCTGCAATTTATTGCCCTTTTTGTCCTGTGGATGGGCAAAGCTTTTTGTCAGGGAAAAAATCTGTTGTGCTCCAGTATTTGGAATAGCTGCTGGCTCGTGGTAACTGTGTGATGCTTCCACTTGTAATGATACAAACCCACATGGAATGCACAGTACTGGTGGACCCTACAAGAGCAAAGGGAGTTGCATATTTTCTGTAGCAGCTGAACTTTTGGGCAGTGCTTTCTTTTTACTTTAGGGAGCAACTGTGAACTCTGTCGAGAAAGGTAGGATTATAAATTTCAAAAAATTGGAGGGGGTGGGTTGGGTTTGGGAAGACTTTCTAATGCTGGTATTTGGGATCTGGAGGGTGGTGCAGTCTGTAACTCAGCTGAATAATGTCCAAAAGAGGAAATGATTCAGCTGAGATTTACCTACACTGATGATTCTTTAGATGACAAAATGACATTATGAAATCAATTTTTCTTTAGCCCGTCACCTCAAGATGATGGACAGATAACTTTTGATGTGGAAATGCACACAAGTAAAGACAGTACTTCTCAGGTATTTTCTTCCTTAACTTTTAAAATATACATTTATAAGTTGTGGATATTTGATCTTGAGATATTTAAGTTGTGGATATTTAAGCTTGAGGGGTGGAACATGCTTTTTGTGGTGTCAAAAGACTTACATTCTGTATTAATTGAAATTTGACCTAGACATTAATAGTGTTGGAGTGAGGGAAAAATGAGTCTCCATCTGTACAGCTGAGAAATGCTTTTTTCCTGGCAGTCATGTTACTGTGTAACCCTGCTGGCACTGGGTGTCAAAGCTGGGTTTGAAATGTTCACATTTCTGCACAGGATTTCAGGATGTTCAGTGATTGCTGTTCAGACACTCACATGACAGTGAGTAATCTCCGTAACACAAACTGAGAGGAGCTCTTACTTTCATAATCTCATAAAATTTGCTGTCTTCAGCAGTATAAATAAAAAGCATTCTTGGAAGAATGAAAGCTTGCATTTAATTTTGTCAAAAACCTGGGAGTGTTGCAGTTCTGCCCTGAGAGCCAAAAGGGTTTGAATGAAGGTGTTAGTGAGCTCTGCATCTCACTTGTGGCTGTGCTGTTTGATTACCTCTGGGTTTGCTGTGGTTCTCACTTAATGTTCTAAGGGGCTTATTTTAATAAGAGTCACTCAGGAGATTGTTTTAATATTCTGTACTCTTCCTAAGTTATTTCTTTTCTTATATGGTAATATTTGCATCTATTGATATCAAGTTAAATCTTTATGTATAGTTATAGTACTTGCTTTTCCCTCTTGCATCTGGGATTCGCTCAGTAGAAGCTACTAGTTGCAAGTTATGTAAATTTTAAATGACTAATAACACGCTTAAAAAGTCAAAATACTGGTTTTGAAACCTTCTTATTTGACTTTCCATGCTCTTAGTCATGTTCTGTGGACTTTAAATGGAATACTATCAACCTAATTTTTTTCCAGTTTGTAAATATTTTTTGCACAGTTCTGGTTTATTACATTTAGGATTAATATAATAATTTGTTTTTGTTAGTTAAAAAAAAAAAAATCAAGCAGCTTGCAATAATGTGGAAATCCTGGATATAGTAATAGAATTTGTGGTTTCCTGATTTCCACTGGCAAATCAAATCTCTTTGAAACAATCAGCAGTCCAAGAACACTCACACGTTTATCAGGTGCCACCACTTGGTGCTTATCATGTCACTGCTGTTGTCACTCTCAATTTAACACCCTGAGGAGGAGCTAATTGAGTGTTACAAGGCTTGTCCCCCGTGTGTTTCAGTCCGAAGAAGAAGCAGTAGAAGGAGAGAAAGAATTGGAGGTGATGAAGAAAACTGCAGACTGGGTGTCAGACTGGTCAAGTAGGCCTGAAAACATTCCTCCCAAGTGAGTTCAACTCTGCGTTTTTAATGAATATTAATATGCTTTAATGAATAGATGAAGGAAAGGATCGTCACAGTCTCACAATCAAAGTAAGTTCATCTTAGGAAGAGATTGATTGCTCTGTGGGGAGGCTAAAATGGTCAAAACAATGAAGTATGAAAATCAAAATAGCAACACAATGACCTGGAGGTAATACAAAGCCAAAGCAAGCTGTGATTGCAAGGTTTCTTGACAAAATTATAATTAGTGGGAGAGCTGGGTACTTGGAGCTGGGATTCATGGGATTTAGTCTTGGCTTATTGAATGGAAGAGTGTTGAGCAAGTCTCCTAAATTCTCTGTCCCTTTTTTTCTTTCTATGTAAAATATGTAATGTTCATCCACGGAAGGGGAAACCTTGAGATCCTTGAATACAAAGCATTTTTGTTAAAATAGAGGATGCTGTCTAAATCTGGCAGACTTCTGTATCTGTGTTTGGAACAAAAAATGAGGCCTCTTGCTAACAAATCACATCCTGAAATTCCCTCTCTTGGACCTACCTCTCTCTGCAGCTCCTGCTCCCTTTGTGTCTATACTGTCTGTGTAAGTGGTCTCTCCACAATCCCTCCTCTATTATCTTTGATTCCTTACTCTGTGTAAGGGATCTCGGGTTTCGGTTTTTGTACTTTAAAAAAAAAAAAAANAAAAAAAAAAAAAAAAAAAAAAAAAAAAAAAAAAAGAAAAAAACAAGAGAATGAAACAAAAAAGTCTTGTTGAATTTTTCCTCCCTCCCCCTCTTCTTCCAGGGAGTTCCATTTCAGACATCCGAAACGTTCAGTGTCTCTAAGTATGAGAAAAAGTGGAGCAATGAAAAAAGGTGGCATTTTCTCTGCAGAATTTCTTAAGGTTTTCATTCCATCTCTGTTCATATCTCATGTTTTGGCTCTGGGACTAGGGTAAGTATGAACCTAATTCTCGCTTCAGCTTTTGCCTTTCCACTTGAATGTCAGGTCCTGCTGAAAAGGACCTTTTCTAGAGTAATGATTTCACTCAAGCTTGATGTACTTTTACAAAAGCAGGAAAACTTTGCAACAGTTAGAACTTTGCAGCCTATAATGTGCTTCATTTCCAGAATAAATCAAGTTATATTGAATATGCATGGATGAGTTTGCAAATAACCTTTGCAATTGTACCATGTGCAATTTGATTATGTGCCTTCTGTTTAAATACTTCAGGTTATGAGGGGGAAAATTAGAATAGATGAAAAACAACTTTTACTTACCAGTATGAAACTACACTGTACAAATAATGATGCTGAAGTGGTGTGTGTGGCACAAACTCTGTAATCTCTAGTTTAATGCTGCATTGAAAGTCAAGGTTTGTGTACTTAGAGAAAGAGAGATAAAAAATTGGATCATCTGTGTCTCTGCTCAGCAGTGTTTTCATTGCTTATGGAATCAATATAATCTCTCACTTTGTCTAAATCCTTATGTTCTGTTTATCCACCTTAATTTCTGGGATGGGGCAAAGGCATGGGCTCAAAACATGGTTTTATTTAGTTTTGTGTTTGGTTTTGTGGGTGTAGTTCAAGTGTATCTTTAAATTCTTGTAAACTGTCAAGTAAATTAGCATGGAATATGTGAGGATGTACTGTGAGATATTTGTACTACAGCAAAATTGTGCACTTTTGCAATTATTTAGATCTTGCTTGTGATCTGTGTTTGCATAGATCCTCAATGCTCAGAGTTTTAAATCTCATCCCCCTCCCTGTAGGCAGCACTTGATTTTGTCTTGAATTGTCTGGGAGTGTTGCTGTGTCAGGTACTCAAAACACAAAAACTTTTGGATTGGGGTTTTCAGATGAGCCTGGGACTGGAGGAAAACCCACTTTGGGTGAGTACTGAGAGCATTGATCCTTCCAGACTCACACAAAACCTCACTGTAAGCAGTTTTATAGAAGAGAAGTCTGTGGATAGAGCTCAGATTTGAGAGAGGGGGACAGTGGGAAAGCAGGGAGCATTCCTGTGCAATTCAATATCCCTGTGCTTTTTATTTCAGCATCTACATTGGGAAACGCCTGACCACACCTTCAGCCAGCACTTACTGAGCCTGGGGAGTGCAGCCTGTTCCCCACGTGTGAAGGTGTTACTGTCTCATTTAGTACATTTGACTTGAGACCATTTTAAGCATGACCCTGACTTCACCCTTTCCTTCCATATCCAGGTTTTTTGCTAACTCTGGAATTCAGTATTGTGTTGGAACTCTGTTGAGGTGTTTGGCTATCCACATTCTTTCCCTCTCTCCCATTCCCCTGCCTCTTGGCCTGCAAGACACGTCAGAGTTGCTGGATGGAGTTTACAACTGTCTCTATGTTGCAAGGGCTTCTCTCAATGCAAAATGCCACCAGCAAGTTTAATTTTATCAGTGATGCTGTTGCCTCCTTAGTGCAACCTGACTTCAGTTGCAGTTGTGCATGGTCTGAGTGTTGACTGCATGGGGGTGATAAAACAGTCTTGGAAGGAAATTACTGATTGAAGTGGGAAGGAGTTTTTCTTTTGTAAAAAAGAAGCTGGTTATGGAATAAACTAAGAAATCACTGGCAATAAAGATCCAGTTTAAATCAGCTTTTGGGGGGAATTTACTCGGCCCCTTGTATTGGCTAATAAAAACCTTTTGAATTGCAGGAGGCAAAGACTGCTTAAATTTTAAAGCAGGATGACTAAATCCATCAGCATATTTTAATACTAGGTAACTGTTGTAATTTTGTCTTTTCTATGAAGTCAGCTCCTTATTCCTTGTAGGAAAACCTGTCTGATACCTAGGAAATATTAGAAAAATTGCATTGTTTGCATGTGAAGAAGCTTTTTTTTTTTCTTTACCTGTTTTCTTAAGGGAAAATTTTCAATGTGAAATTTTCCTTTTCAAAGTAGTTCTAAATTAAGGAAAAACCCAGCAGCTGTAGTGTAGGTAGGCTCTGTGTAAAAGGAAATTATTCTGTTTGTTGTGGACCCATTTACAGCTCTGAAGATCCGGCAGTTTGAGCAGGAAAAGCGTTTGACTCATCCTTAAGGGGGACAATCTTGCAGGTGCATAAAAGTTCAGAAGTTGTAAAAGCTCTGAAATGTCTTCTGCAAATGAATTTTCAATATTCCTCTCTCTCATTGTTTACTGTACAATCTCCTTTTTGGGGATACTTGGAACCTGAAAGTCACTTGTGATGTCTCATGTTAGGGTAGATTTCTCACTGATGTTGTTGAACTTTTATCTTAGGGAACATAAAGCCTTGTCCTCCTTCAGTGACACTTCTTTTCAAAATGTGAAGCTTTAGTACCAAATTGTTACAAAGCATTGGGACAGTCTTGTCCTTAAATAGATTTTATTGGATTTCAGAACATGTAGCATGAACTCTGAAGGATAGAATACCCTTTACATATATATATATATATATATATATATTTATATTTATATATATGTATATATATGAAAATATGTTATAGACTTTAATACTAAGTATTTAGGGAACCATTGCTCATTTTTAGACTAGCAAAAATCTCATTTAAATAAAAACTTTAGTTGGTGGACTTGTAGAAAATAAGAAAATCTAGTCAGCCATTTGGAGAAAATGGCTACCTATAATTTTTTGCTTGCATCAGACTTTATAAAGTTGATTATTTGATAGAGCAGTGATTGCTTGAACGAATTGATGCATAAATCCCAGCTGAGATTTGGGTTAAAAAAAAAAACTTCAGTTAGCTCCCAGGAAGTGAAAAAGTTAAGTATGAATCCACTGCTTAACTGTATTTATTTTCATTCTCTACTTCTGAATACTGTCAGAGAATGCTTTCAGGGTGAACAACAAATCCTCTTGAGTAATCTGCTTTTTTTTTCTGTAGTTGTGAATACTTAGTGGCACTCGAGCTGCCCACAAGTGCAGGTCTGTTTTGGGTGTGGAGATTGGGTTTCACCCAGAGGTGGGGACGGGCAGGGGAACGTGGTGAGGGCATTTTAGAGAGCATCAAATACTTCATTTTACAGCCCTAAAATCTGAGATGGGAGAAAGGCTGGACCACTTTCACTTCTAACACAGCACCTTGTTTTGTATGAAACTGGAGTAGTGGAAAAAGAGATATTTACTAAGTAGGCAGTACTTTTTAAAGAGGAAAGCCCAGTAAATGACACTTTTCTAAATTAAAAGGTAATTCTTCAGAATATCTGATAAATAAGCTTGTGGCTGGAGTATCAAGACCACTAATGCCATTTGGAGTAAAAGCTGTGAAAGCCAGAGCTGAGGAATGCCCCGTGGTCACTGTAACACTGGCTGGGATAAATGCAGTATTTATTGAGACCCTGTTCTAAGCTTTGGGGGAAAATCTGCAACTTCCACTTTTACAATGAACAGAAACAGAGTGTTGTACCATTCACAGAGGGGTTTCAATTCTTGAGAGTTGAAGTTTTGTCAAGATAAATGTTGTTTAAAAAGCTTTATACCTGTTTACAGTTTTGGAAAAAAAAAAAATAGGCTTCATTTTTCTTACGTTCAGTGAAAACTGGCCTAGATTTGTAAATAGGATCAAGAAAAAATGCATAAACTCGCACATTAAAGATGCAGGCTGACCTAACTGCAGCAAATGCATATTTACTTACTGTTTTCAAAAGTGAAAGCTGAAGATTGTTAGAAATTCAAGTTTTTAGTTGACATTCGTTGAAATATTGGAATTAACTGAGCCAAAGTGATTATGCATTCTTCATAAATTAGTTAGCACTTTGTAACATTATATACAGTTTACATGTATAAGTTGTAGCTTATAAACATTTTGTGCCATTAAAGCTCTCACAAAATTGGTTGTCTGAAATTACTTCATGCTGCGCCTTTCTTTTGTCTTTCCTCTATTTCCCTTTTTTTACAGGTCTGCTTTTTAAGTTGTTTTATGGAACTGTTTTGTTCTGGGTGATACAAACACTGAAGCTGCTGTTTATAAACTGGAATAATTTTTTTTGAAAGATTGCTTGGGTTTATTTTTGTTTTGTTTTTTTTAGTGACTTGGGATCATCCACTTCATTTCCTGAAGCATTAATAAAAATATTTCCCCTATTTGGCCTTGTGTAACTTTTCCAAGTCCTCCAGCAGCTTGTCCAGGGAAAACTCTGGAAGGAAAATAATGTGGTGGCAATATTAAATGCAAAGTAGAATTGCTGAGATTTTGTGTGCTTGGTCAACTCTGTTGTATTCCTTGTATTTCTCTTCTGTTTCCTAATTGTGTTTAATTTGCAGATTAAAGAGTAAGGGACATAAACCCTAATTGTTAATGTGCCTCCATGTTCTTGGTTCAAGAGCACAGGTTATTTCTGTGTATCAAGAGGAGAGTTGTTCATTCTAAGTGGAAACAGCACCATTCTGATTTCTGGTACCACCCATTTTAGTTATTCTTTTCAATATTTTTAATCTGTAAATCCAGAACTTTGTGTAAATGGGATTTTCTTTTTCCAGAGGAATAAGATAAAATTATAAACCCTACTTTAAGAAAGTTTCTCTCTCTGGGTCTCACAGTGAAACTTGGGCCTGAACTTTTGAATTGCTTCAAAAGCTTTTTAGTTATAATGAAAGAATAAATACAAGATCATCTTGCATAAGGCAGCGCTTTCTTTGCTCTGGAATTATTCTAGTGTAAATCACATTTTGATGGAGTTGAGGACTGTCTTCAAGTTTCTTTTCATTCTTGTTCAAGAATTTCAGATTCTGGGAAAGTTCCCTTCTACTGTGACCTGAGGGAATCTCCAGGTGCTCTGTGGTTGAGTTCAGTGGTGGGGGATGTTGAGTGTTCCTTACACTGTATTCAGGCTTCACTGTGCACATATGAAAAGCTTAGCATTTGAATTTTCATGGCAAAACTTACTATAAAACCATTATTTACACTTCTGTGTGTATGCATACCTGTAAAAATTCTATCTGAAAGTGAAGCCCCCATTCCCTGCAAGTGTTTGGAGGATCTTTGCCTCGTGTTTGTGATTTATAAAGACTCTTTTGTGTTTTGGGCCTTGAAAACCAAAATAAATCAACCAGCACTTTTCAAAACAAAACAAAAACCTGGAGGTACTCCAGAAAAACCTGGTGCTGGATGCAGCATCCCCGTGAAAAAGAGAAAACTCAATTATTTTCCACTTCATTGGGTCCCTCTCTGTGCCCTGCCCAGTGTGAGCTGAGCTGACTCAGCCGGGCTGTGCTGACATTAGGGGGAGAGCGAGGGGTGCTTTTCCAGGAAGGAAAGTAAACATGACTTCACTTTCTGAACTGCTGCCAGAGAATTTAGAGTATGGAAACATGCATTTTTCTATTTTAAACTGTTTCCTCACGTTTTTGTGATAAGACTGGGAAGTTTGTTTAGATTTTTTTTTTTAGTGGTGCAGTTTGCGTAACTTGCTGTTTGTTATCTGAAGACAAACCAGTGAATTTTAAGGCCAGAAAATGCCTTATTCTAGTGTTTATACAAAAAAATAGTCCTACAGCTGTTGAAGTTCTTGCAGGGTATTAAGGTGTATATACTTTAGGTCACAAAAGGACACATCCTTGCAAAGCTGTCGGTGTGTGGAGTTGTGCAGAACCTACACCTACACTTTCCACCCTTGAAATTTAAATTTCAGCCCCTGGATCTCACAATGCCTTTCTATGGTAGATGAAGGAGCCTCTGGCTTTCAGGTGCCTTTTCCTGTGTCTTCTAAGTAAGCATTTTAATTAAAAACTCTGTTTTAAGACCAATCTTCTCACAGCCTTTTCTGACATGTAACCTGCATCTAAATACAAACTGGGAGACTGTCAATTATCAACAGAAGAAAACTTTATATGCAAAATTTTGAATGAAACATATTCCTTTCTCCTCTTTTTCTTATAAAAAATAGTAATTCCTCATTTATTTCAACAGTGCCACGTGAGCTTATGAGCTAACAAGATGTAAACAGTGCACGGTGAAATTCCAGACACAAACTGCACGCCCTGGTTCTCCCAGCTCATTCTGTGGGCAGGAGCAGGCAGGGTCGTTGTCCCTCAGGTGCTGGCAGGAGCTTGGTGGGACCATTCTCGTTTTGCACCTGGAACAACAAAAACGCCTCCTGTGCGTTTTGCTGCTGGTTGAAATCCTTTTCTGCTTCTGCATTATTCCCATTAATCCCTGTGCAGGTCATGGGTGGATGTTCTCATCCCGCTTCGCTGCGTTCCTGTGCTCTCCCGGGCTCTGGGAAACATTCATTTCCTCGTGTTTTCACACTGCTTCTCCATCCTGCTCCAACACCTCACGCCTCTTTGAGTCCCCAGCTCTGTCGGGGGGAGTTTTGATGACTGAGAGAAAATCCTGCCCTGTTTTGTGTGCGTTTCCTGGTTCCATGAGCCCTGCAGTTCCATGAGGGCCGAGTGTGGATGCTGGGAGAGCTCCAGGTCTTGCACGCTGTTACTCCATGGTTGATGTGTGTAACTGGGGGTGTTCAGTCATCAAAACTCCCCCTTTTGATGAAACAACATCCTCTGCTCACAGACAGCTCCAAGGGGCAGGGCACACCCTTGGCAGAAGGGGTCTGAAAGGAAGTTTTTAGGGTTTAAAATGTGACACAGTATGGTAATGTCATATTCTTATAGGCTGTATGTAAATGCTATAGGATTTGTATCTTGTACCAGATTGGTTAGTGAAAATTAGAATATTCAGCACAGAAGAAGATTTATTGTATTGTAACAGGAACTTCCCTCTCTTGCTCTTGCCTCTCTCTCTTGCTCTCCCAGCCTGCCCCGAGCTGTGGCTGGCAGCTCCAAGCAGGGCCCTGCACCCACAGCCTTTGTAATAAACTGCATGTTCCAAGGCCTGACTGCAGAGATCTCCTCTCCATCCATCCTACGGTCCTACCAACCAACACTCCTACCCCCAGAGAGCCTGGCTGCTCGCCTCTCCCGTGGGAAGGCTGTGCCACCACCAGGAGACACCCCGGACTTGCTCCCACAATGTGCCAATTGTCATTTCATTTCAGAGTGAGAAGCAGCAGACAATGACAGCTGCTGCTTTAAGAGCACTGTCTGACAGGTAGGAGAGATCTCTGGGGTTTTGACAAATTGCTTTAATAGCTTCAGCTCATAAATAGCTTTATGTACCCATTTCCTCCCTAGACAGCAGCTGCAGTGAGGATCTCTGGTGTAAACACAGCACTGCAGTTTGCCCCAGTCTGATGCTGGGCTTTGTTTCTGTGTGCTAAAAATCAGGTCTTGTATAGTTAAATTCACGGGTATCCAGGGAAAGGCAGAACACAGAATCACTGAGGTTGGAAAAGCCCTCCAAGAGTACCAAGTCCAAGCTGTGTCCAGTTCACACCTTGTCCCCAGCCTAGAGCTCTGAGTGCCACCTCCAGGAGTTCCTGGGACACCTCCAGGGATGGGCACTCCAGACCTCCCTGGCAGCCCCTGCCAAGGCCTGACCACCCTTTTTCCATGGGGAAATTCCTGCTGCTGTCCACCCTGAGCCTCCTCTGGCACAGCTCAAGGCTATTGAGCCTCACCTTTAAATTCCCTGCTGTCTTTTCACAGCGTTGAAAAGACAAAGCGTTCCAAACAGGCCTGGTTGGGCGCTCTGGCTGGAGCTGAATTGCTTTCATCACATTTGGGATAGAAACCCAAAGCACTGTTATTATAACAACGAGTTAAAAAGCACCAGCGACTAGGAGGAGGAAGGTTCTTCCACTGAAATCCTTGACCAAAAGTACGACTCCAGCAGCAGCAGGAAGCTCTGCTGTGGATCGGCTCCTGCAGGCCGATGCTTGGAGCCCGGGATTTGCTGTGCACGGCTGTTCTGCTGGGCTCTGCTCTGTGTGTGTGCGTGTTCTCACGCGGGAGTGGGGAGGGAGAGAAGGGAGGAGTGGCAAGCCAAGCATCACAGAACACGCTTGAGTCTTGCCCGTGTGGAAGATTCTCCCATAGGCTCCTGTGCTAGGTGAGAGGGACGGCAGCGAACGAGCCCTCCCCAATTGGCTGCTCCTGCGGTGGCACCATGTGTGATGTCAGCCTGGCACCTCCACACCAGCCTCCCTTGGAGGGCTTTTCTTTCCCGGCAGAAGCGTCTGAGAGAGAGAAAAGAGAGATGCTGGAAGTGCTGCCTTCCATCCGCTTCTGGGAGAGCCGCTGGCAAATCCCCGGTGCTCCTCCCAGCACGCAGTCGGAGCGAAGTTCATGTGAAATTAGAGGGGGGATGAATTCGATTTCAGCACTTGTACACGGGGTTTGTGAGGAGAGATGCCAGAAATCTTGAGCTGTTGAATGCATGAGGAAAGCACGGGAAGCATTGGGTCAGTCGGGAGCATTTGGGAATAAATAATAGGATAAATGTAAAGAAAAGAAGGCAAAAAGGTGGAACAGAAAATATTTCATCCCAGCCCGTGTCTATCAGAACTCTGACTGGAGTTTGTGAGGAGCAGGTGGAGAACTGCCAGAAATCCTTGAGCATGAGGAAAGGAGATGCAGTGGCACGGGAAGGATTGGGTCAGTCGGGAGCATTTGGGAATAGAAAATAAAATAAATGTAAGAAAAGAAGGCAAAAAGGCGGAAAAAAAATATTCCACCCCAGCCCGTGTCTCTCAGAACTCAGGGATTTGTGATACTGAATGCTCAAAACATGGGAACATGTGTTTTTTGTCCCAAAGCACTTGTATGTTGTTGCTGCTGTACAAACCTAGCTGAGCATCACATTTGCATAATTTGGATAATTGGCACAGCCACTGCCAGCCGAAACCACCCAGGCTGCACAACTTCCCCTTTCTCTTAACAGTTTATTTTGCTCTCCACCCCTTTCTGCTGAATTTGATCTTCTCCAAGTGTTCAGGATTTTATTTTTTAATTGGGCTAAAAATAGGAATTGTGTGTTTGTTTTCCAGGATGAGTACTTGAAGCAGCAGGTGTCTTTATGCCACTGATTTGATACTGGCTGTAGGAAAGTCTTTGTGACTCAGCCCTCATCTGTAAAATGGAAATATCAACATGCTGTGGAAAGATGCTAATGACCTCAGTTAAAAGCAAAGGATTTCTATGATCCTTTCATGTAATGATCCGAAATACCAAGGATATTTTTTCCAAATTCTCAGCCAGTGTAGATAATTTTAGTGTCAGCCAATTGCATGCTAATGTGTGCTCTCTGACTTGTTCTGGTGTGATTCCTTTTGGATTATATGCTATGTCTGTCTTAGTTTATAAAACCAGATTGAAGCAATTACTGAATTTATATTCCTGTAGTAAGAATATTCCTATGAGACTCAAATTTGTGTGGAACTCCATGATTTC